AGGAGAGGAGGAGATGAGGGCTTTCCCTGGCAGTTGGCAGCTAAAACTGAAGGGATTCTTAGAAAATGACACAATGGCAGCCTTTCTTGTCTTTCTCTTTCCGTGTTGGTTCTGGTGAAGGAGGACATTCTTGCTCTTGAAATTTCCTGTAAGACAGAAAAATCTAGATATCATTGCCTACCTGGTAATGGATTATTAGAAATGCAACTTAGTTTTGGACAAGTTCTGCTTAAGTGCATACGCTTTTCAATGTTCAACTAGGGATCAAAGCAAATTTTTAAAAGAAAAAAATAAAACAAAGTACATAAATGTTTCAAAACAGGCATAAACAGAGTCATCTGAGTTGGTTTCACAGGTGACCCCTGATTCATATGAGATGCTGGACTCAGTAACCTCCATGCTCCTGTCCCAATGTGAAATTCCTCAACTCAATGGTGTACTTAAATATAAATACCTGTCCCCAGGTATAATATAAAATGACCATTACAAGGTATACACGCAGTTCTTATTCCCAACAACCACTTATTAAACGAGTTGACCTCAGCCTGTTTTTTAGAAGAGAATAATAAAAACCTACCTTGTACAGCTCTTATGAGAATCTAAGACCTTATGATGTTTAAATATGCCTAATATAGGTGCCTAGGTTTAAAACATATACACACACACACACACACACACACACACACTTAACTTCTACCTCCTTTTCTCACTTCTGGTTAATGGATTAAAAATAGATTTTGAGGGGCCAAAAGTAAGAACAGTTATTTCAAAAAAGCAGCAATAGTTGTTTCAAGAAGGAATAATCAATCAGTTGTTTAACATTAAAATGGAACTGGGATGCTGAGAAGGATAAAAACAAAACTTTCCAGCTTAACAATTTATAGTTCTATGGCATTAATTATATTCACACCACTGTACAACAGTCATGGACTGGAATTTTTAACAAACTACTATAATAAAAAACTAAAACCTTCACTTTTCCTTCTCACAAAGAGAATCCTCTGACAAGGAGCTAGCAAGCACAAGAAGCCCATGGCTCACTCATGTCAGTTCACCTGAGATACACAGGGCAAAGGTGCCTACTGCACACTTCTGCCCAACTAACTAGCAGAGAAATCCAGCAGATAGACAGTAGAGTGTGAAGCAGAGGCAAGGCCAGGCCACAGAGACTCAGAATAGTCTAAGCAAGGGCTGCCCTCGCAAAAGCTGAAGCAACCTTGTCTTCCGGGCATGCAGCATATGTGATGACTCTAGCAAGCTCTATTACCTGGCTTCCTCTTAACCTAGGAGCCGGGTAAGAAGCAAACCAAAAAGGACAGATTCTGGAATCAGAGTTTCAAGTTCAAGCACCAGCTTTGCCATTTGGTATACCTAAGCTTGGACAAGGTATTTAACTTCCCTGTACTTTCTTTTATATTCATTTTCAAATGAGAAAACAGATGTATTTGGGTTGCTGGGTTGTACAGTAAGGAAGAAATATAGTAACATACTTAATGCTGCAGCACACTGTGACTGGTACATATGTGAACACCACCCAAGTGTCACCCCTGCTGTCATCACTAGCTTCACACAACCACCACCTTTGTCAGCTGTATTTATTCTTTTCAAAAATCTCTATAAGTACTTTTTACTTCCACATAACTGAGATGCTGTTTACTAGACATACCTAGGATATACTATGTACTTCATTAAAATTTAACAAGCCATGTACATCAATCTCTATGAAGGAATTGCTCCTATTTACAATTTCTTTCTTACTAAAAACGTTTAATAGCAATTTATTACAACATACTTTTAGCATGTATTTTGCTTACCTTATAACCCGAACAAGTTCATGGAAAGCTTGATCTACATTCATCCTAATCTTTGCTGATGCCTCCATGTATGTTACCTTAAGTTGCCGTGCTAACTGTTGTCCTTCCTCCTGTGTCACCTGAAATTTCAAGAGTTGTGTTTAATCTACACTGCTAGCAAATACATCTGTTCCATCTTACTCTGGCTGCACATCCGGCTGTTGAGCCAGAGTCAAGTTGTTTTATCATAAGATGAATTAGCAGACTTTGTACTTCAACACAAACTGAACCAACCCCCATATACACACACACAACAACGCCAAACAACTTGTGGTGGAAGCGGTCAGCCCTCAAAATTCTTTGGTTCTGTGTAAGTGGGTTCAACCAACTGAAGATCAAAAATATGTGAACTGAACCGTATTAAAGATGTGCAGGCTTTTTTTCTTCTTATTCCCTAAACAATACACTGCAACTATTTATACATCATTTCCATTGTATTAGACATTATAAGTAATCTAGAGATGATCTAAAGTATACAGGAGAATACGTGCAGGTTTATATGAAAACTGCCACTTCATGCAAGGGACTTGAGCAGCCAAAGATTTCAGTGTCTGTTGGGAGCCCTGTTCCCCTATGAGTACTGAGACCTGCAGATTACACCAAATGTGTTTACCCAAAGGTAATACTATACTGTGGGAAGGAAAGGCACCAAAGGGCAGCAAAAGACTGAGAAAGTTTCCTGGAGAAAGTGACACCTAAGCTAAGAACTAAACACAGTTTGGAGTTGGTGGGGTGGTGAGGTGATAAGTGTTCCTGAAAAAGGATGTGGCACGAAGAGCTCCTTCTGAGTCTGAGGAACCGAGAAGCCTGGCGCAGCCAGGAGACAGCACGCAGAGAGCGCAAACGGAAAGGGATGAGGATTGGAGCGTTCACTTCCAAGGCCACAGGGGCTCCTCCCCTCGCACTCACTGCTCCCTCATGCCCAGGAGACACCCGCGCACACGGAGATGAGGAGGGCCACGGGCCCCACGACACCTGCATTTGGCGGTGCACAGCAAGAACAGTGGCACTGCTGACATAAAATGCAGGCCAGAGTAAGAAAACATTAATTGACTCTGAGAACCACATGCATTGGGCACTTTTCAATGATGAACTTTCTTAACAAGGGTCATAATTTGTAAATATTTTATACTTGGAGACATTCTAAATTCGTCTAAGAGTTCTGAAAAATCCAATGGTTTTTCTACACAATCATGTCACTTGTTAGTACAGACAGTTCCGTCTCTTCTTTTCTGACATTATTTCCTTTTCTGGCCTCACTGCGCCCTGTGCAATGACAGAGGAGATGAAAGCAGCTCTCCCACTTGTCTCTGATCTCTGGGCAAAAGCACTTTTACCTTTTACCTGGAAGTGTGCTGCCACTTGCAGGCTTTTTACTGTGGATGCCCTTTATCCAGTTAACACAATTTCCCACTATTCTGTCTCTAAAGTGTGCTTATCAGAATGGGTGTTGATTTTATCAATTTTTTTCTCTATTGAGATAACCATATTATTTTTCCTTTTCAGTCTGTTAACATGATAAATTATACTAACTTGTTTTAAACATAAAACCAACCCTCCACTCCTGGAATAAACTCTACTTGAGTGATGTATTGGCCTTTTTATATATCATTAAATTCTATTTACTAAAATTTTATTAAGAATTTTTATATGTGTGCTCATAAGAGAAACCAGGCTGTGGTTTTCATGTCTTTGGTTTGGTTTCAGAGTAATGATGGTTTCATGTAATAAGCTAGAAAGAATTCTCTCCAATATTCTCCAACAGTTTGTACACAATAGGGAGTATTCCTTTTCACTGCGTATAATTCACCAGCAAATCCATCTGGGCTTGGGATTTTCTTTGAAGGAAAGTTTTTGTGACAAATTAAATTTATTGGATATACAGAACACTATTCAGCTTAGCTTAGCTTTGTTTTTGTTTGTTTGTTTGTTTGAGACAGGGTCTTGCTATGTAGTTCACCACACCTGGCTTCAGCTTATCTGATTCTTGAGTGAGGTTTCATAGTTTGTGCCTTTCAAGGAACATGGCCAGTTCATCTAATTTATCGAATTTTATCAGCCTTAAGTTTTTTGTAGCATTTCTCTATTATCTTTTAAACATCTATAAGATGTAAAGTGATGATTCCTCTCTCATCCCAAATACTCAATTGTGTCCTTTTTTTCTTATCATTCTGGCCAGAGGTTTGTAAGTTTGAACTGATCTTCTAAAAGTCCAGCTTTTAGTTATTTCTTCTATGGTTGTCTTGTTTTGTTATGGGGGCGGGGGGGGGGGGGGTTTCTGCAGTACTGGGGACTGAACCCCCAACCCCAGCCCCGCCACTGCCATTATTTTCATTTTTAGACAGGGCTTCTCTAAGTCACTAAGTTGTCTGGGCTGGGGTCAAATTTGTGATCCTCTTGCTCCACTTCCAAGATTGCTGGGATTACAGGCATGCACCAACACATGACTACTTCTGTGATTTTTCTATGTTGTTTCTATTTTCTTTTCTTTTTAGGTGCTGGACCTTGCTCATACTAAGTACTTGCTCCACCACTGACCCCCACAGTTTTTCTATTTTTAGGATTACATTCCTACTTCCCTTCTACTTACTATAGTTTTAATTTGCTTTCTTCTAGTTTAAGGTAGAATTTAAGGCCTTCAAATTAAGGTCTTTTTATTTTCTAATACAGGTATCTAGTATTTATTACAAACTTCTCTACACTTTTTAAGCAGCGTTCCACAAATTTTGATGTTGTTTTTTATTCACTTCACAATACTTTGCAATCCCCCTTTTGATTTTTCCTTTGACCCAAGTGTTAGTTAGAAATGTTTCCCGATATCTGAAGATTTCCTACATATTTGTTATTAATTCCCAATTTGATTCCACTCTCATCAGAAAATACGTGCTGTTTGAGTCGAATCTTTTTACATTTATTGAGGCATGTTTTATGATCCATTCTAGTTTCAAAAGACTGTGTACTCTGTTGTTGAGTGGAGTGTTCACTAAATGTTACTTGGGAAAAGTTGTTTGATACTACTGTTCAAGTGATCTAATATCTCACTGATTTTCTTTCTACTTATCAATTGTTGAAGTTGCTGAAGTCTGTTAAGTGTTTGTTAAGTGTGAATTTGTCCATTTCTTTTCACATTTAACTCTCACCTCAGGAGTTTTGAAGGTGTTATGAAGGTACATAAATATTTAGGATCATTATGTCCTGATGAGCTGTGGTGATACATGCCTGTAATCTCAAATACTTGGGAGGCTGAATCAAGAGGCTCAAAAGCTCAAAGCCAGCCTGGGCAACATAGCAATTTAGGAAGACCCTGTCTCCAAAATTAAAAGAGTTGGAGTCTCAGTGTGAAGGCCCTGGGCTTGATGCCCAGTACAGAACAAAACAAAACAAAAAAAGGGCTCCTGGTGAACTATTCTATATGTATCATTAAGAAACAACCCTCTTTAATCCCTAGTAATACTCTTTGCTCTAAATTTGACTTTACCTATTTATATAGCCACGTTATTTTTATTATTATTAAAATGGTATGTCTTACCCTCACCCTTTTACTTTTAACCTACTTCTGTATTGAAATATATTTTTTTGTAGGGTTATGCTTTTTCATCCAATCTGACAACATCAGGCTTACAATTGAGGTGTTTACACAATATATAATTTGATCACTGATATAGTTAAGTCATTTTGCTGTTTGCTCCCTATTCATTCCATATGTTCTTTGTCCTCACTTTTATCCTCTTTTTCTTTTCTGCCTTTTGCATTAACTGAATTGTTTTTACAATCTATTTTATCTCTCTCCTTTGTTACACTCTTAGTGGCTGCTTTAGAGTTTAGCATATACATTTTAATTCATCACAGTCTTATTCAAATACTATACCAATCCACATATAGGTTAAGGACCTTACAATCAACTACTTCTCCCTTCTGCTTTATTATAGCCTTTACCTGACAATACAACCTTTAGGTTTTAAACATTCAATTACATTAATTTAAAAAGATTTAAACAACAAAAGCAATCTCTGCTTACCCATATCATATCATTAAGATTCCCGGTGTTCCTCATTCTTTTGTGTTGACTCTGATCTCCTTCTGCCTAAGCATTTCCCTTATGCATTTCTTGTAATTCTAGCTAATGATGAACTCATACTTTGTATGCTGGAAAAATTCATTAGCTCACCATTTTTGAAATAAAAATTTTGCTGGGTACTAAATCCTGGGTAACAGTTTTTCAGTATTTAAAAATGCTGTGCAGCTATGTTCTGACTTGCACTGTTTCCAACAAGAAACAATGACAAATATAACTATCCTTACCTTTGTTCTCTATATGCAATGCTTTATTTTCCTCTGGCAATTTTTCAGATTTTCTCTTTATTGTTGGTTTTAAGAAATTTTATTATGATGTAACGTGTAATTTTCTTGATTCTTGTGCTTAGGGTTTGTTGAACTTGGATATGTGCATTATAGTTTTCATCAAATTTAAACATTTTCAGTCATTACTTCTGCTATTAATAATATTAATGTAGCAGAAGTGCATTTTCATCTCATTGTAGCTTTAAATTCTAAAAGTTTGATTTGAATCTTTTTACACTTTCCATATCACATCTATTTATTGCAGTTCTTTCTCTACCTTCTTGAGTGTTTGGAATATAGATAAAATAACTGTTTTGATGTCTCTGTCCACTACTTCTATCATCGGTGTTATTTCTCAGTCTATTTATTGGTTTTTCTCTTACAATGGATTATGTTCTTCCTTTTCATGCTGGGTAATTTTTGAGTTGGATGCTTGGGATTTTAAAGTAGCATTACAAGACAGTTTGTATTTCCATACTTATTCTTGAGCTTTTTTCTCGGATTTAGTTATTTGGAAACAGTCTGATCCTTTGGGGTCATGCTTTAGGTTTTGTTATAGAGTGCTACAAAAGTATTTAATCTAGGGCTAATCTTGCCCCCTACTAGGCAGAATAAAACCCTCTGCACTGTATGGCCCAATACCCCAAGAATGTATGGGTTTCCACTCTCACAGACTGGAATATGAGTTATTCCTAGACCCATTTGATCTCATGGCATTATTCCCTTTAATTTTTTCAAGTAATTTACTCTGCCAACTTAATACTCTATCCTAAAATTCAGCAACCTGAATACAACAGCATTCCTTTGTTACATTAATACACACACATCCAACAATTACTTCATAATGATTTTGTGCCCCTGTTGCATTCCAACAGGGTAGAAGGCAGGTTTCATATAGCATTGGTATAGCCAAGTTTATATAATTTCTAAATTTACCTTCCCTTTCTACAACATAACATATGTTTATGTATACAGCCTATGAGTCTGAAATGCAAAGCAAATTAAGCAAGTCAAGGAAGACGAGGAAGCATCATAGAGCCACGAATTTAGGAGGGACAATTTCTGTTTTTAAAAATCTGACAATTCCTTCCCATAGAAATAACCCTGTTTGTTCACAAATTCCGCTCTTTCTTCCTATGATGTCACCCTTCTCTCTATGCCTACATTCTCAATTTCTTTCTTACTAACCTTTCAAGACTTGAGCTATCAAAAATTTCCTTCTGCCATTTTAGAAGTACTTTCTCAGAGCTCCCATCATCACATTTAAGGTTACCACTGATAAAACTTAAGCTTTCTTTTCTCAGACTCTTACCACTTCAAGATGTCCTCTGAGGCGAGGAAAGCATTTTCTAAAGCTTAGAAGAATAACAGTTAACTAAATAAACACATTTTAGGTAAATGGAGTATGACCAATTATGTAAATAAGCACATCCTCAAGTAAAAGAGGATTTAAAAAGAAAAAACAAATACTTAAGCTTTTAAGTCAACTTCAAATTATGTATTAATATAAATTTGATATAGGGATGGAAATATATGTTGTTAAGAATTTTGCTATTTGTCTGTTTAATTTTTCTCAAAAAGTTATTTTGGGGCCAGGGATTTAGCTCAGTGGTTTCACTGCCTGCTGTGCAAGCGCAAGGACCCAAGTTCGATCCCCGGTACCAAAAAAATTAAAAAAAATTAAAAAGTTATTTTGCCCTCTCCACCATGCATAATAAAGTAACTAGGATTTTTTTTTTAAAGGATAGCAAATGACCTATTCCTCATACATCACAAGAAAATTTAATGAATTCATGGTCTAGACGATGACAAAACAATCCCACTACTAAGGTTTTTATGTACAGTACTTCATTCTTTTTTTGTTTTTTCCTTAAAAGTGGTAGTGGGGACTGAACCCCCAGCACTGAGCTACATCCCTTCCCTCTTTTTTATTTTGAGATAAAGTCTGGCTAAGTCTCTAAGTCACACAGATTAGGCTTGAATTTGTGATCCTCCTGCCTCAGCCTCCTAGAGTACTGACATTACAGGCATCCATCATATTCACATACTGTATTTTTAAAGCCTGGTTTCACATCACTCTTCTAGGAATCAAGGTCTGTAGAATTTGTACAAAACTGCTTTTGAGCTTACTGATGTAGCATACTTTTAACTAGCAGAAATAGCATTGCTATTTAAGAAGCAGAAATACCACTGCTATCAGCAAAGCAGACAAAAAGAACACATGGAACAAAAACAGAACCCTGTGCAGCCAGAAATCAAGAGACTAAAAGCTACACAAACATACTTTCTAAAGATTCCTCAACCCAGAGAACTTTACAAAGATACCAAAAACTAGGCTTTCTCTCCCAGATATCCCGATTTGGTAAGTTTGAGCTCTTAGAATTATTATAAACATTTGAGATGACTAATGCAACAAATTCACAGACACAGGCTTGGGAACTTCCAAGACTCAGTTTAAAAGCACAAACAAGGGCCGGGGATTTAGCTCAGTGGTTTTGCTGCCTGCTGCACAAGCACAAGGACCCGAGTTCGATCCTCAGTACCAAAAAATAAAAAATAAAAGCACAGATAAATGTAGTACTAGCAGAAGTTCACATTACTGAGTTCATCTGGTACTATATACTTCCAAAGAGAGAACAAAATAAGGGTAATTTTACCTGAACAAATTGGGTTTAATAGGAATAAACTACAACATTTACAACACTCACCTAGGGCTACATGTCAAATTAGCCAAGTTTACAAAGGCAACATTTGTTTTTGAAAATGTCTATTATGTAGAATCACCATATTCAGGCCACATCTTCAATCAGTGGTGCCCAGAGTCATTCACTCAACGAATACTTGCTGAGTGCATATCTTTGTTCTGTGTGCTAAAGACAAATTATGAACAAACTGAGAAGGTTTCAGAGTACCTACACTCAATGTCTTACAAACCTTTCCGATGCATACAAGGCATAAACAGGTATGGCTGGGATTATCTGAAGGCAAAAGGTCTTTTTTCCCAAGGAGTACTAACGACATTCTAAAGCTTGAAGATTCCTGGTGCTACAGCTGACTAAACAACTGGAGTTAGGAAGAATTCAAATATAATACTATAATTCACACTAAAATCATTATCTAAAGAAAAGAATTTTCATATTAATGGTAAATAAATTAGGTATTTGGGTGTAACTTTAAGATTACTCAACTAAATTAGAGTTTTTGGATGCTACCCAAGAAATTACATGGGAATGGAAATGGAACAAATACTTGTAATCTTAAGGAGTCTTCTAAAATCTGGTGTACGGCTGGGGATTTAGCTCAGTGGTTTCACTGCCTGCCACCCAAGTGCAAGGACCCCAGTTCAATCCTCGGTACCAAATAAAAAAAAAAACCCAAAATGCAAAATAAAATTTGGTGTAAAACTGTGTGAAAATTTAACTGCCCCAAATCTTTCTTGTTTTTTTTTTATCTGATGCGACTTCTGAAAGATCCACTGTGCCAGACTCAGCAATAAACATCGAAATGACATGTGGCACCGTTTTTTGGACCAAGGGACTTTCCATCATTCCATTAAATGTATCACTTTATTTACATGGCTTCAAACAGCAAAATTCCTTCTTACCTGCCTTTGATGATCCAGGTCCGCTTTATTACCAATTAAAATCATTGGAAACTCATCGCGATCCTTTACTCTAAGAATCTGTCTTTGAAACTTATAGATTTCTTCAAAACTTTAAAAAGAAAAAAAAAAGTAATCAATTTGGCAAGAATCCGAATTCAGCAAGTTCTATGATCCATTCAATACTTTCTTATTTTTCCTCTTTCTATAAAAACAAGAATTTCCAAATTCAACAGATTGTGATCTAGACAGGGACAGCGGGGTGTACTTTAATACTGGTATAAGGGCCGGGGATTTAGCTCAGTGGTTTCGCCGCCTGCTGCGCAAGCACAAGGACCCCAGTTCGATCCCTGGTACCAAAAAAAAAAAAAAAAAATACTGATACAAACCTGCCTCTATCTGTGACTGAAAAGACCAACAAGAAGCCTTCACCAGTCCTCATATACTGTTCTCTCATGGCTCCAAACTCTTCTTGTCCAGCTGTATCCAAAACTACACAAAAACGACGACAAAGGAAATGGTATATTTGTTTACATTTTATAAACTGCTTCTCTGTAAGGGCAGGCTCTCTTCCCGTGGGGTTCCTCTAGAGAGAGCCACGCACTTAGCATAATAAGGAAATGGCATTCAGCTCTTAATACCTTACTCTCAGTACCAGAGACAATCATATTCTAATGGCAGACAGTTTCAGAGTTTATCTGCATCACTATCAGCTGATTTTGTGGTTCAAATATATTAGCATATCAATTAGGTTAAAAATATCAAACACATTTAGGCAGATGGAATCAGACAACCTCTGAAATTATTTTGATGTTTATCTCTACCATGTAAAAAATTGGAAAAAAGTAAGTTCAAAAAAGAAATTTTAGTTGCACCTCCCTCCCATACCATGCTTTTAGCACAAGTGCTAACATATTTTTGGATCTCTGTGAATAAAAGAATCATGCAAGTTAAAAGAAAAGGCTTTTCTTCTGTGGAGAGGTGGGACGTTCATCAAACACATATGTGGTAAAGCCTGTGTGCTTTTTTATAAATTCTAAGTTAACAAATACTGCACCTTTTCTACAGGTTCCCCCACTGTAACCTTTGCCAAAGGGTAGAAAGAGCTGAGACCTGACGTTTTTTTCCAACTGTCCCAACTAATACATTCCAACAAGTTACAATGACAAGACCAGTTTCACCAGAACAAGATCAATCCAATCACTATTTTATTTTTTATTTACTGAGGATTATTTAAATAGACCAACATGCAGATTCATCATAAAATGAATAATAATAAAACCAAAAAAAGAGGTGGGCTTATTTATATTCAAGATCATCTAGTATTTCAATTATACTGTTTAAAATAGTAAACATCAGAGAGAACTTTTTAAAAATAGGACATGTGAGCAATCAAATAAATACATGTACTTACTATCTAGCCGGGCTGCTCTGTCATCTATCACACATTGCTTTGTATAGGAATCTTCAATGGTTGGATCATAATCTGTTACAAAATAGGACTGTAAAAAGAAAGAAAGAAGAAAAGGCCTTATTTTAAAACTTTCGTTTGCTTTCTTACCTACATACCATGCTAACTTAATCAAATTCCACTTATCCAGAACTAAGTCAAATGGTTCCATTATATTAGCATTTACCCTGTCAATTCTCTAATAAATGAAGTCTCTTTAGAACACCTTCCAGAGTGAAGAAAAGGTACGAAGTATCTCTGAATTCTCACATCTGAAATATGCAGTCTGCCAAGTAGATGAGCTACTATAATTTTTTCATAATTATCTAATGCTAAGAATCTAGAACTCTAGTTCTTGAAAATATAGAAAAAAATTATAATAAATTAAATTTATAAATTATAACTCAGACTTATTTGAATTTAAAATAAGCATCAACTGGGTGAAAGAAATGAAGATCACAAGGAAGGCGAACACTCCAACTCCACCCCACCCTCCTTCCTCACCCTGTCTTACTCCCCATGACCATCAGGAAACATCGCTGCAGGATTCTTTCCCCTGGAGGAACCTCAAGCATTCACCAATATCTTTGGTTTTATCTTAAATGGTATTTTTCTTCATTTATCAAGGCCTCCCAACTATGATCCTGTAAATCACCGCAGCTAAGAATGGGCAGTTAAGGTTCACAGGTAAACTAACCAACTGAGTGCAGTACCTTCACTGCAGGACACCGACACAGCCCTCTTTGCTCCTGAGGAGCCCTCTGCTCCAGCGGGGACTGACTTCCTACCAACTCACCTGCCCACCGCTCATGAACAAAATCCAGGGGAAGGACGTGGAGAAGGCTTAATGCTGGGCACCAGAGCCGGGTGTGCAGGACACGCTTGCTGGCAGCGGGTCCCCTCGCTCTAAGACACAGCATTCTTAAGCTACACCCCTCAGCTTGGTGACGTCTGTTCAGAAAGCCACTCAAAAGCTGTGCTGAACAGGACACAGAGGGACTCTACTTTGGGGAGGGGCCAAAGGAGGATATTAATCTGCCTGCTACCATTTCATTATGTACACATTTTGCACCAACACTTTCTGCATTTTACTCATATTTTAGGAATGACCTTAATCACACAATTCATTATCCATAATCCTATTTCCTCGATAGTTTCACTGAAATGCATGACTTATTAAACAAAGGCTAAATCAACAGCAGAAGCGTTGAGTAGTGAGCCATCACCCTATCAGTTTAAAATGAACAAGTATCAAAACAATCCTTAACTTACTTATGGCACTCACATCCCTTCAAATATAAATGGCAACGATATTCTTTATACTCATTTTTCAAAAATGAACAAAAACCACAGTCTTTCATTAAGCAAGCTGGATAAAGCATGCTGGCTATACTTTTAAGGTTAGTTTGAAGCTGGCTGGTGGCACATGCCTGTAATCCCAGCACTCAGGAGGCTGAGGCAGAAGGATCACCATGAGTTCAAGGCCAGCCTGATCTGTATAGTCATTTCAAGGCCAGCCTGAAATACAATAACTGAAACCCTGCCTCAAAAAAGAAAAACAAATTAGTTTGAGATGTGCTGCTGTACAGTAAACTGATACTTCTTGCCATAAAGTTCATCTTATAAAACATGAATTTCACGAGCTACTCTTATGCCTAAAAGTGATATACTGTCCCTGCCACTCTGGCTGAAAATATCAAATGAATGGAAAAATATTAAACATATGTTTACAAACATCCAAGCCATCCATAATAGCTAGAATTCCTCAAATATGATTAGGTTTTGCAATGCAAGACTAAGGTATTAACATGCACTGTTGGTTTAATCCAACTCTAAAGTCCATTATAATAAACTACTTTTCCTTTTAGTGGCTGTGTGTCTGAATATTTAGGTCCACATCCCTTCTTTGCTATATCCAGTTTTCATAATCCATCTAGAAAGACATCACCTTCTTGCTATACATCAATCTTAAAGGGCCACCCTCATTGAAAGATTCTTTTCTAAGGGACAGCACTCTAGGGCCTGGGAAAGAATCAAACCCTATTCTGGTTCAGGGTGTGGCTCAGTGGTAGAGAACTCACTTAGCACAGCCAAGGCTTGGGGTTCAAGCTCAAAAACCACAAAATAAGGGGAAGGGGTATTCCCCTCTCATAATTTTTTCCAGTAACCAACAGATCAAAATATGCCTAAAATGAGCACTCATTATGTACAGGTAAGAAAGACAACCATCTCCTTCCACCACAAAAACACATTACTGTCGCTTACACTTAGGTACCAGGTATCTGAACAGCAGACCACGGTAAGAAACCAGACCCTGGTGGTGGACAGTTTGGGGTTTAATCCTAACTCTGCTACCTCCTAGCTATGGGATCTGAGGCAAATCTCTCCACCTCTCTGACTTTCAGTTTGTACAAAACAGGAATGGTGACAAAACTCTGTGCAGCGGATGAAATGTGGTAATGCACATGAATTATCAAGATGCCCTGGTGACGATGTTAATGTTAACCATACCAACAACTGTCTTACTTTTCCCATGCAGTTAGATGTCTGAACTAATATTTTCATCCAAGTATAAAGACTTGCTAATCCCAGAAGCAGTTACAGTAATTCCAGTCCTAGTTACACCATGGGTCAACCACGTGACCCCTGGCACTTGGTATCTCAATGTTGTAAATCAAGATAAAAGCTCCCCATCTGGCACTCTGGAGATGTTTTCTGGATCTGGGCATTAATTACATAGGTATAAATAAATTAATTACACAGGTATACATGAAAATCCATAAAGCTATACAACTAAGAGCTGCACACTTTTACACACACGCGCGCACACAGCACTGCACTGAGCTAAACAGCAGAGGCTGAGGCAAGAGAAGGGAAGGAGGGTGGACTAAAGGGCTCAGAACACACTGAAGGGAAAGGAGAGAGGCAGAGGCTGGGGCAAGCACCCTGCTTTTCTGACAGCACACGAAAGGCTATGTGGAGAAAGATCCTAGTCAGAAGAAACAGAATGCCCCCCCATTCAAAGGACAGCTTGTTCAAGTGGCAAAGGGACTTCTGTCACTTTAGCTAGGGTTGGAGAAGCTACCCCATCCAGGCAGGGAGCTACTTCCCTTGATAAAATCTGGTCTGTGTAAAGCTGTCAAAAGCCCTTAATGGCGCAAGAGTATTTCACTGTGATAAGCAGGAATGCTGGTATATCCCTCTAGGTTGCACAAGCAGCACTCCAGTTGGCCTCCTAAGAGAACTGCCAACTCACTATCTTCCTATTCAAACATGCTGCGGTAAAGAGGAAAAGAAGGGTGAAGAGGAACGAGAAGGGGCTGCCCTTCTTCAATCACGGGGTACTGGCAACAGCTCACTTTCTCCGGACGCCCAGCAGTGGGTGAAAGCGTAGTTCCCAAGCTCTGCCACAGGGCGGTGTCCGGTCTACTCACTGGACTGGGGGTTTACTGGCGGTTCTGGGAAGCTCCGTGAACCCAGCCGGTGGGTGAATCTACTAAGGGCTGAAAGGACAGATCGGAGGCACCACTGGGGAAGTGGAAACGGGTATTTCGGAGCACAGCACCCTTCTCAGGAAAGTCTCAGGTATCCTCTAAAGGAGCAGGTTGTAGGAAGAGAAGGAGAAGCAAACAGATAAAACAAGTGTGAGAAGACTGATTACTATTCATTTTGGACAGTGTGTATAGGGTGAATATTATTCTATGTCTGAACTTTTACACATATTTGACAAATTTCATATTAAAATTAATCATTTTGAAAATCTTGTGGGCCCTAAGAACTAGAGTGCCAAATCAAGAAAAGAAGGTAAGGGCCAGGGATTTAGCTTAGTGGTTCCGCCGCCTGCCTCCCAAGCAAAAGGTCCCCTCCCACACACCAAAAAGAAAAGAAGGTGAAGGATCCTTTGTTAACACTGAGCTCTCACCTCACTCCAGACCAAAGAGATGACCAAGAAGCCTGTGCTGTTTTCTTTCTTAGAATATTTCCTGGGCTCTTTGCCCTTCCCTCTTCGGTTACTATCGCCTTCCCTCCCCAACACATGTATCTTATATTTTGTTTTCTATTTTTATTGTCCGTTCCTCCTTCCATGTGGCTAAGATGTAAGCTCCATGAGGGAGGGTCTTCGTCAGAGGTAAAGTGACTGCCTAAGCTGACTTCCATACCAATTCCTGGCAAATTTAGAAGTCTGCGGGATTCTCTAGCTCTCCAACTGCGTTTCTCTAGAGTCTGCAAGACATATTCTCCCTCCTGCTTCTACTGCTCCCACAGAAAGTGAGGAGCCCTCAATCACCAGACGTGGTGCTGACCACATGGCCAGTCATTTGTGGTATTACATTTGATATCTTGACAAACATTTTCTCACTTAATTCTAACAAGGATCCTTGCAATAGTGCCTTTTACAGACTTTTAAAAAATGAGGAACAGAATTGTTACTTCTACAAGGTCACTCAATAAGCAGAACTGCAATTTAAATTTAGATCTAATTCTAAACTCGTAGTCTAAGAACTGTTGCTATTTAATAAAATTCATGAAATTTCAAATTTTTCATTCCCTTACAGGCTTATGAAATGAAATACAATAAAAGGGAGGGAGGGAACCAAGACTGCAGTCTTGTCTTCTTGAACTCCTGGCTCAGCTCATCCCTCACCCCCACAACGAGACACTGGGCTGTGAAGCATTCTAGATGGAAAATGCTGATTCCCTGCTCCCCTCCATAATGAGTCAGCATTTCCCTACTATCACTTCTATCCAAAAGATACATCTTATTTTTTAAACCCATGATAAAATAACCCAAAACATGAGATTTCATAAGGGTTTGCTTTCTATGAATAGATGCATTTATAAAGTTGTTGCTGTAGGCAGCATGAGAACAAGAAAATGTCAGAGAGACCTGAAATTCCAATACTGATGCCATCCCACTTGCTAACTAGCTGTCTGAGTTGCTGGGCAAAAGAAAACATCTCAAATGCCCATTCTCAAATAAAAAATGTGAGAGATGTTGAAGAAGGGCATATTCCAATGGCTGCTTTAAAGGTGGCAGGGAAGGAAGACAAC